TCTCATGTCCAACCTTCCCTCTTTATCAGTCTTACTACTGGCTTAGCGAGGTAAAGGAGTGAGTCAGTGGCCGGGTATCGAACCCCGGACCACCTTTCGTGGTCGGCGAGCACTCTACTGTTGTGCCATTGACACACGAGTTTCAAACGACCTTTCAGAACAACCATAGTAACAAGGTCAATCTTAGGGTGGTCAGGAGTGTTACCAAACTACTGATTTCATTCAGTTAGCAGTATATAACATGAATTAGAAAATATACACATTCATCATAAAACGTATACATGAATGCTGAATTTTCCTGTATCTGGAAATGTGTACAGTACACAACTCACCATGAACGCGTGAAGAGAATCGTTTCATCCACAAAATTGCCAACGACAAAAGCTTCACCACCAATAACCAATTTCTTTTCTTGCTCTGATTCTTGAATAGTCAAGGAAATGTAGAGGATTAAATTAGTTTGTGGTCACATATTTTTGAGGTCAGTATGAAACAAGCCTATTTCTCATAAATATAAATCAAGTGAATGAGGCATATGTTTGAATAAATATGTTGTGATTTGCAGAAAGATACCACACAACTCCTTGTTATGGTAGGAATAAGTAACTGACATTAGCTATTAGCAAATGAATGATCTAGTCAACTGATCAACTTTCCGATTATTAGGTGACTAACGTGTTGTGTGTAATGCACCAAGGATCGCAAATTGTGACGTAACCTGTTTCAGTTGCCTTACACCACTAACTACCAATAGAGTGCGACCGCACCGACGACCTTGAAACACTCACTAAGCAAGTTAGTGAAACCTGGCAAATCATGTTGTCATCATCAATTAAACATTCTCATCGAAGTGTTACATTATTGAATGGGATATCTGACAAGTTTCAGCTTAGGTTTGGGAGAGATTAAGTTACGCTTTAAGCCAAGGACATGTTAGGGTTAGGTTAACCGACTAAAGGTGATATTGACGTTAGTTCAATTTAGATTAGGGTTAGTTTAGGCATATTTTCACGTTAGGGTTAGGTTTAGGAAAGATTAGCGTTATTGTTAGGGTCAGTAGACCCAGGTAATTACATGCATAGAACGTGGTTCAATTACTCTGTTGATATAAGAATAGAACTTGTGCACTGTGGTGGTAGAGTATAATTCGATTGTGGGTGAAATTTATTCTGATAAAGTCTCAGACAGTGTTATACAGTAATATTTACTGATGAGGTTTCGAGCACAGTTAATAGCCCAGTAAGTATCAATGCATAACACTGTGAGACTTTTTCCAAATAAGTTTCACCCAAAATGGAATAATTCTCTGTTGATACTCCAGTCTAAAACTGAGAGCTATTTTTATCGCATGTGACAGAGAGGTATTATGTGTAACATTTTCATATAGTTTTCGTGCAATTTTGTCATGAATATAAGTATTCGATAAACAAAAATGCGTCTTTCAGGGGACTGGTGCGTTCAATGTCATTCGCTCATTGGTAGTTAGTGGTGCTTACAGTTTTACTTTGTCCAATTTACCACCTATCAGTAGTAAACATTACTGGATGACGGCCATACAGGCAGATGTACTCACTTATGAACAACATTCTACTCGAGATCATGATAATTAGGGTGCATAGATTGTCAATATCATCAGTGATTTGTCATAGTTTCACTGATGAGTAGACAATATCAGTGTACTTCTAAGAAGTTTGAGTCTTTATTGAATTTCTCAATCGTTCACAGGCTGTTCACTAGCCGGCCCCAAACCACGAAAAGAGATAAGGTTGGACGTCAGTCAGATTAGCGATTCTTAACAGCAAACAACAACGTCGATTCTGAAGCTACAGAGCACAGAGGGAAGATACGCTTCTCAGTTTGACGATGAATGACACTAGCGAGTGAAAGCCTTTGCGTCGATGTGCATTGTTGCTTTTAACACCTCATTTTAACTAAAGCAGAATGGGATGTAGCTAATATAGTGTGGAAGCTGACTGCAATCCAAGATGAAGTGAGAAGTCACAGAAGATACTCAAAATAGAAACATGATTCACATGGATGATAGGATCTTACCTGAGAAGTCTCTTGGATCACATTTGTAGTATGGGTACCAATGCTCCACATAATTATTGGCAAAGATACGAAAACATGAGGAAAGTATAACTCGATAGCCAGCTGATGTTATGTTCTTGACACGCTCTTGCCTTATCCAATCCTTCCATACTTGGAACACAGTATTCTGCTCCTTGTTCGGCTAAATGAGAAAATTTCGATAATTGATTAGGATGAAAATAAATTTTGAATTTAATTTGATTGGTTCATTTTGAAAGATATGATGATAACGTAATTTAAATTTAAGACAATGGAGTGGAGACGACACATCAGCTGTGTAAGCATTTATATGGAGCAGATCTGCACGCTTCTCCCCATTGCTTGCTTATCTATATTTATTTTATTTATTTATTTTTATTTATTTTGATTATTGCTTGAAACCACACAGTATTTTTGGTACAAGAATGGAATTTTCAGCATGTGATATCGATAACCCATTAATATCTGGTGTCTGCCGGCAGGAAATCGAACCCCGAACCATGTGCATGTTCGGCGAGAGTCCCAACCATTGTGCCACCAACGCAAGGTAGATATATCAAATGTTTTACTCAGGATTGATTGTCACTCAGTGACCTCAACATCTTCCGCGTCGCAATAAAGTCGAAAAGTTCTTTTATACTCTCAGAAACATTTTTATCCTCAGATCTTTATAGAATAAAGACGAGATGGGCAACCTATTAAACACTTCTTCTAGTAAAAGGAGATGTAGAGCACTGTGATTCTCATTGATCTCATACTGCAAACGTTAACGATAAAGGAACTAAGACAAACAGAATAAGCACAGATCTGACAATCTTCAGAATTTTTTGTGTGAAGAGACTGTTTATCGCTACTCTTTTCCCTGTTCAACTATCTAACTTTGAACGGTTATATTATATTGTTAGTATTTCCTTGCGTTCCAAGTGGAACATAGGTCTTCAACAACACATCACCACTTTGCTGTTATCTTCACAGCTGGGTTCACAATTTCTCATAATCTCTCATCTCCTCCTCCCCAACACACGATCTCGTCCATATCACCCTCGCAACGACCGCCCACTCGTCGCTTGCCATTCGAATTCCACTCGAGCGATGGCCTACATTGAGCGTGATGTCATTCAACAACCTCGTCAGTGGTGTTTACCTGATCCATCTGCACTTTCACCTACATATTTCTTGAGCGATCGGCTCTTGCCTGTTTGTTTGTTCCCAAAGTTTCTTGTTGCTTATTGTTTCTGGTCATTCAATCTTCAGTATGGAGCCAGCCAGCGAACTGGGCAGCTGTTGGTAAAAGTCTGCAACTGGCTGTTAGATATTTTTTGTGACATGTAGCGCACGTTTCTGACCCATATAGAAGGACTAGACTTCACATCAGTGTTGAAAATGCGGATCTTGTTGCTTACGTTGAGCGCGAAAGATTTCCAAACTGGTTTCAGATTGATGAAGACGTAGCTTGACTTTCCAATTATGGACAAATTTGACATCTTCATCCATCCCGCCTGTAGTTGAAACGATGCATCCTGGTTGGATAAGTGAAGGAATTACCCTCTGTCAGTCTCCGCCGTTGATGGTGATTGGTGCTGGTTGTTGTTGTTGCTGCTGATTGGTTATGTTCATCACCTTCGTCGTATCTGTGTTCACCTGCAGTCCTGTTTACACTGCCGCTTCAGCCAGTTTGTTGGTTTTCGCTTGCAAGTCTTCGAGTTTGTGTGACATTAGACATATATCATCCACGCACGAAATTCAGATCTTCTAGATTCTCCTCATTGGCAGTACAGCGTATTCCTGTCTCCTCGCTCCCACCACACAGCCTGACACATAATCCAGTCTGAAAGGCCGATGGAACAGACTTAAAATGAACGAAATCCTCATATTTTAATCTACTGTTAAGCATCAGCAGACACACGAAAACAAGTACGCAATACATATTTTCTATTCAATAATTGCTTTCCCTTCCCCTGATTAATATTAGTCTAAGTACACTTCACCATTTTCTATAGTTCACCTCATATCCAAAAAGTATGAACTTCAGTGAAATTCAAGTAGATGATTGTCGTCTAACAAGAAAAGCATCGGTGATTTTCTTCAGTAACGGTCAATACATGTTTCAGAATGATCATCACAGCACGAGAGACCATTGGAAATGAACTTTAAGTTCTGAGAACAATGACCTAATTTTTTTAACCTATTACTTGAATTTCTAACAACGACTATGAAACGCAACCAACAGTTATACATCTCATCCAACAGTTGTACGACAATGCTGCGTGCCAAGTAATCCACAAAGGGAAACTCACAGAATCCTTCGAAGTGAAGACGGAAGTAAGACAAGGCTGGCTGGCTGGCTGCCTACTATCTCCAATGATTTTCCTGATCAAGGTTGGTAGGCTGGATAATGCGACAAACAGCCCTACTCAGCATGAAAAACAATATCCGGATTCTCAACTCCAATGTGAATTCAGTGCTCTTATACGGATCAGAGATCTGGACAGAGCGTCACGAACGGCACTACGAACAAACTGCACACCTTCATCAACAGCTGTCTTCGCTCAATACTACTCAAGATCAGATGGCCAGCCAGAAAAGATCAGCAACAGGGAGGAATCTCTGTGAGCGAACCAACCAGGAACCGATTGTGAAAGAAATATATAAGAGGAAATGGAGGTGGATTGGCCACACTCTGAGAAAACAAACCATCAAGTGACATCACATGCCAGGCCATCGCTTGAGTGGAACCCGAATAGGCAGCAATGAGTGGGCCATCAGAGTGAGGGTGATGTGAAGGGGAGATGAAAGCATGTGGGCAGACTTGGAGAGAGATGAAAACATTGTCAGAGAACCCTATATTCCTCTATAGATGATGAACAATCTACAGAGACTAGGTAATCATCAAAAGGAACGCAAAAGTATTTATCAAAAACCACAAACTGTTAGTATTCTAAAAAGTAAGATGATCCACCTACACGATAGCCATTCTCGAATGCGTCCTCCCAAACAACTGGTGTGATAGGACCCCTCTCCTGTTGAACAGATTGAATAGCTGTGATAAGTTCGTCAAAATAATATGATTCGAGTTTTCCAAAGTCTTCGCCGAAACCCTTCGTCTCCATGAATTTCACAATCTCAGGATTTGATTGCCTGATTAAATAAAAACGGTTTCAAATATTTTAGAAAATATAAATCGCATAATGTTCTCGGCCAAAAGGTAGTCAGATTTATGAGTCAATAGGTTGTCAATTGTAAAGAAGTTTCCTAGAGGTAGATTTTCTCATAAGTGTTCCCCCAACTACATTTTGCTTGTCTTTCCATGTATTGATTAATTACAGTGAGGTGAATGGAGTGGAGATAGCTTGTGAAAATACAACGAACAAATTTCGTCTTCTCTACACTTTCACAATATGTGAAAGTGTCATCGATATATGAGTGATATAATTCAAATTGGTTGGCTGCTACGCTTAGATGTGTGTGTCGTCTATTTTAGACATCACAAAGGATTAAAATACCAGTGAAGATTGATACTGCACTAACAGGTATCATGTGGTGTCTGAAAGGTATTCTGCTAAACAACTTTGAAGGTTGAGAATATGCTCACATTCCACAATTCATATTAAGGCAATCAAGAGGTGAAATTTTCCAGTAATTCATAAGAATGAACATGAACTTCCAGTGTCATATAACTAACCCTGACTAAAAAGTATTAAGACATTGAGACTGAACACCACCAGGGGTTTTCGATCATTACCGAGCGTCGTTGGATGCCATTTAGGTGGCAATTAGAGGAGACTGTATGGATTCATCGATTTCTAAGATACTGATAAATTTGATTGGACACTAGTAACTAGTGTGATGTTTCTATTCCTTTGTTTGGTGCAGACTGAATTCTATCAGTCAAGTTTGAAATGTGGCCATCATTCCAAGATGGATCTCCTGCTCATTCACTAAATTGCACGACAGTACGAATTTCAATACTCCAGAAACCATCAATATCTGAATAGTTCCATGAACTTATGACATGATCAACATTCATTCATGAATAGACGATCAGAAAACTACTCACCAACATTCAAACGATACATCATCACCACCCAAGTGAATAAATCTCTCTGGAAATCTTGAAGTGGTTTCATTGAAAAACGATGTCAGAAATTCCATTGTGGTCTGATTTGTAGGATCAAATGGACCAGTTCTTCCATTTGGTAAACCTTCAGTATAACACTGTGTTCGTAATCCAGGATGACCCTTCTCCCATGACCTCGTATGACCTAAAATCAATAATACAGAGAATGAGACAGTTCGACCACCATGAAAATTTCCTGTCTAACTGAGAATTATTGGCAAAGGCCAGAGGATGAGTCAAACATTTTCACTCAATACATGTCATTCCAGATTACATACGTGAGAACTGTCTTAATTAATGGACCTTCAGAGATGGAATGATTATTGCATAATAAAGCATCAAATCCCTTGATTCGAATGAATCAAACATTGCCTCATTTAGAGATTAATAAACAAACAAGAGATCGCTGATAACATGGATCACTGAATATGAGGATAGAATTTCAAAGATGGTAGATGACATGACACAACACAGAATGGCATGTTGTTCACTTACTCGGAGTATCGAATTCCACCACCACACGTATTCCACGTAAACGAGCATAATTCAGTAAAGGCTCAACATACGCTTCTCCATAGACTAAAAATATTGGATGATAAGCACTAAGAACGAATAATGATGAGGTGAAATGCAACAAAAGAAAATACCATTTTAGAGAGTTGAGGATCTGTGGATGATTCGTACGGGAATGAACTATCATCTGTGATGTGCCAATGAAATACATTCATTTTAACGAAGGCCATAGCATCCTGAGTGATTGTGAAGTTAAATGAGAGAGAGACAATATGGAAGGCAGACTTACAAGAAAATTCTCCAGCACATCAACACTGATGAAATGAGCAGCAGTGTTAACTACAAATCCTCTGTGAGTGAACTGGGGTGAATCTTCAATTGTAGATTCGTTTATTACTAACTAGATAAAATAGGTTGACAATACATGAATAATCATGAGGTCATTGACTCACAGTCCCTAATGCATTTCTGTGCGCCAATTGTAAGACAGTCTGTAGTGCATGTAATGTTCCCCATACTTCAGTAGATTTGATTTCAATCTTCGCATTCGATATGATAATTGTGTCTTCATTAGTGAGTTAGTTATGTATGAAAGTTGTGAACCTACATGATTCATTCATCTTCTCACTTGGCCACAAATCACCCCTTGATTCATCACATTCATCAGTGATGGAAATCGTCATTTTGTCAATACTGCAGGAAGTTTCTTTCTTATGCAGGTGTTGTGATGTTTTCACCTTAAGACGTTTTCTGAACTCTTCCACAGCATCGTTAAGTATCAAACAATATGAATATGTATGTTCAATTGCTAAATCTTCTTTTAGGCGGCAGGTATTTCCATCCTTCGTGTATTTAGTCGGTTTCGGGACTAATGAATTCACAGTGGAATAAGAAAATGTGAGTAATATGAAGCTGAACAAATAGATAATTGACATGATGTTCAGTCTACAGCTAGTATGGTGTGAAGATTGTTTCAAAGCGTATTTATATATACGTCTTGTTATGTGTGTTTTCGTGTACATGTCTGCATGCGATCTAGTTGTAGGCGTTGTAAAACGCTCTCGTTATTCTTCTTCATGAAGGTGATATGAATTAGCCAATGAGAATATACTATGCAAAGTGAAACATTCTCAGACACACTTTTGTGAGACTTATCAATGAGCTCGATAACAGTACGAAATATCAGAATTAAAATTCGAGTTAATGAAAGCACATTGAGATTAATATATTATATAGAAATACAGACATTGAGGTATAAAAATTAGTGGTTCCTTGAAAATACAGCCATGCTGCAATGATTATTATTAATATATTATTATTATAATTGTTTCGTTTAGTTCCTAGAGGAATAAAGGGTTTCAGCCAAACCTTTCCATTGCTTTCGCCTCTCTGTCAACGTTTTCACCTGGCTACACCTCTGCACACATGCCTTCCCTCCTCATCACAATCGGAGCTCGCCAGAATCAGTCTTCTTGAGTTAATCAGTTCGGATGAGGCAGTATAAATCCAATGGCTCTTACTTACTTTAAGTTTCAGGTTATTAACAGCTTTTACAGCTGTGTCTACAGCTAACTGTATGTTGTGCCAGGCTTCTTCAGGAGGAGTCCTGCTGTCGACCTCAGATACTCGTTTCGCTACTTCTTCCTTAAATAGGAACTCAGAGTCTCGATCTAGTTGGGGACATAACTGCTTCACTGCCAACAATTTTATGTCTGTTTAGACGTTAGCATACACGTGTGCGAACAAGGGCGTGATCAGAATCTACGCACGTGTTCCATAAGGAGCGGCAGTTTTCTACTGACGATCGCCAACGATAGCTTATCGCTGTGTGGTCAATCTGAGTCCAACGTTGATTTACTACCAATCGCAGAAACTCAGTGATACCATATTTGACCCGGCCGCGTCCTATGTGATAGAGATAATGTAAAGCATGAAACCTACGACTTACTATGTTATTAACAAAACAATTGGCTCTTTTATTCTCTCCTATTTGCAATCTATGACGACACTATTTCATTTGTCTAATTATTTTAGATACTAACATTATTATCATCATTATTTTACGCTTTTTGTGCATTTTCGGCTTTACTGTCACTGAAAAAACCAAAAGTGGAGCTGCTATTATCAATCCTGTAATATTATTTTTTTATTTTGCTATTGTTACGTTAGTTAAAAGCAATATTTTAAAAAATGCTGAAAATTCCACACTGTATCATAGGTACTACTGTCTTCGAATAAAGCAAATCATTATCATGAACTGTAACAACAGAAGGCAAGAGTCAGGCAACAGATCATTTATTAAGGAAATCAACGCATATTTATATGTTTTCATGTACATTACTATGGATAGTTAAGCAAACAAACACAGTCTTCCGATTGGTTGTTTCTCACGTAAAGTTAATCTTTCATCTATTTGTGACTGCTTCTTGAATGTCAAATCCTCTATATGTTAACTGCATCCGCCTACGCAAAGTCTGCTGTGGTCGGTTTTGAATCAATCTTTGTTCACATTTTCTCACGACAAATCTTGGGTACGTAAATATTGACGTAAATTACTGTCTATCGATTTGGCTAGTAGACGGCTCTCACCACACTCCTCCCTCGTCAAATAGCTTCGCGCGCAGGCGTTCCGACCTTCTGGGTGATGCGTTCTCTCGTTGATGATTGTTACAGACCGGCTTGTCCCAATGCACCAATCGTTGGATCTGACTGGCGTTAACTCGTTTTTGTTTGTCACCTCTTCTGATGGTATATACTTGACCCCGTCTTTTTGTGACTGCGTATGGTCCTTCCCACTTTGGAAGGAGTTTGCGTGAACCTGGCCCGCATCCGACAGCATATCTTCTGTCTCTACACTTCACTTGGTTCCCGACTGAGAAGGTAACGCACTGAGTCTTTTCTCTCAGCTGAGACTTCGCGACATCCCTCCGCTGCTTCTGCATTACATTCTTGATGGCTTCTTTCCGTTCTGCTTTTAATTTCGTCGTACTCCACTTTTCGTGAAGGGGCCAGGTTTCGTCGTGTATCGGTAATCGTGGTTTTCTACCATACATCAGTTGAAAGGGTGACTTTTTCGTTGTTTCCTGGGTGGTGGCACGATGTGTTAGTAGAATCAGAGGCAGCTCCGTTTCCCAGTTACCGCCCTTCGAGGCCAGCCACTCCTTCAGCGTACGGTTGTTTCTCCCCGTCAGGCCATTCGTTTTTGGATGGTATGGGGTCGTTCGGATCCTCTTGATGCCAAGCTGTTGCAAACGGGAAGTAAATTCTTCACTTTCGAAACACGGACCTTGGTCTGTCAGTATTGTCTTTGGTACGCCATGGTCTGCAACAATCTGTCTAACTACTGCATCTGTCACGGTCCTTGCGCGTTGGTCTGGGATTGCTACGGCGTCTACCCATCGTGTCGCGTGTTCCGTCATCACCAAGAGGTACTGATTACCATTGGATGTCTGAGGAAATGGACCCATAACATCTACGGACCACAAGTCACCTAGCGCCGTAACTGGAA